TCTGGTGGAACCGACCTTCGAATCTCTTCACCCAACACTTCTACTCGAAATGGAAGTAATCCCAACAAACTTATATTTACCATGAGATTCGACGGCGTATGTTTTTGGACCATCGGTAGATCTTGAATAAAAACAATAGCTTTGGATGAGGAAGACTTTAGGGAGATGTGGCTATTTGAAATTCACTGAAATCGTGATTTCTACATTCTTCATTTTTGGGTAGATTTATCTTTCAGTTCTGCCCCGCTTTATGTGACAAAGAATTCAGGATCTGCCGATGGTCTCAAAACCTACTTATTCCGTATTTTGCCCAATGCCATGGCTGAAATGACAAATACAAATTTGCATAATTATCTCGGAAACAGTTTCAACAAGAATGTTCCAGTAAAGCCAATCGACAGCTGGTCAAGAGGAATCGGCCGTCATTTTCTGGCGGAATCGAGCTTCGAATCTCTTCACCAAACACTTTCAATCGAAATGGAAGTGAACTCAACAAATACGAATTCGCCTTAACCTAACATAGCTGGGGAGCGTAAAGGATATCAAACATTTGACTGGATAGTAGATTGTTGGGAACTGGGAGGGAGCAAGCAAGGCGTATTCCTCCTTTGGCTGCACGGAATCATCTTTTTGCTCGCCCTGCAAGTCAAACTATCAGCTTTCCCCGTCGACGTATGTCTCGACAGCGTAGCCATTCGATAGCCCAACTGCTTTCCACGACGGTTTGTGTAAAGCAAAGCGTATCGTATGCCCGGCCCATCCAACTCTTCTTCTCAACTCCATTTTCTGCAGGTCCGATCGGATGGCGTCATCACCCCAGTCCGATGTACACGCATACTCACGGCAAGACGACCTGCCGATCGGGCCATATCTCGCCTCCACTCAGCTTCAAGTGGTTCTACTTCAAAATTCGCTTCGCCTATCTCACATTTTAGCTATTTTTCATAACAGAGCGAATGAAGTGGACTGACGAGAATGAGGCTAGACTCAATGTGATACTCGGCATTTGATCTCTGTCGCAATACAATTGCTAAAGCTGAGAGTCTTTCGTTCGACTATTGCCTTCTTCGCACGGCCTCAATGAGGAGAGGAGCTGACAGGATTCTATCCCTTCCAGTTGAACTCGGATTCTGTGATATTGTTGTACTTACTTACATTTCGAGCGAGTGTTTAGTGAAGGGATTCGAAAGTCGATTCCATGAGCAGCAAATAATTCACTTTTAATGATAAATTTTATGAACAGGTACAAGGTCTAGCAATGGGATCAGGCTTGGCTCCCATTTTGGCTAATAATTGCATGTCAAGAATAGAGGAACACTTCATGGAAGATTGACACCCAAACTGTTAGTTAGATGCATGGATGACTACTTTGTCATATTGCAGTATGGCAAGGATAGTTTAGATAATTTCTTGTTTTTAATTAGCCAGATTGATTGCAATATTAAGTTGCCAATGGAGATGGAGGTCAACAATAGTTTACCCTTTTTAGATGTCTTAGTGATCAGAGCAGGTGAGAAGTTAAGCAGGCATGTCTATAGAAAGCCAACACATGCTGGCTTTATACTTAACTTCTTCTTCAATCATAGTTGGAGTTTTAAAATCTATGATTATTCAGAGCATAAGACTAGCCGACATAGACCGTTGGGACAAGGAACTGAATCGGCTTGAGAATAATTATCTCCTAGGCTTGATTGAAAATAACATTAGATTAATAGAGAATAGTTTTTTGAATGGTGAATATGTAAGTAGAGATAAAGAGACTTTTTCTCATGTTTTGTCTTTACCTTTGTGCATTCTCTCTAAAAGGAGAGGTGAGCAAGTAAGGAAGTGGGGAATGAAAACGGTTTTCATGGAAACTACGGCATTTTCTTCAGTTACGCGCACTTTTAGAGAGAGGGTTGACCCATTCTCCAGATTGGGTTGCTACAACATAATGTGTTCTTGTGGTCGCTTTTATGTTGGAGAGACTTGTCGTCCAATTCGACAAAGCGTGGCTGAGCACAAAAGCGCCTGCAAAGGCTGTTGGGTTCACAAATCGGAGCTGGCTGAGCACAGGCCAGAAATGGGACACGAGATTGAATGGTCTTAAACTTGTCGTTTTGCTGATTATGGCA